CCAGGCCCCGTTGCTGATCTCAAAGGGGCGGGTCCTCCACCCCCGCTCCTCGCTGGCGAGAAAGTGCTGCATGGTGGTGAAATCATGTAGGCATCGAATTCGTCATGCTTTGCAGTCCACCTGTCCCATATGTCTTGGTCAAGCATATCATGTTGTTCGTCAACCTCACGGTCCAGGTACACTGATGCAACTCCAGACTCCCTGAGGAACCTTCCCAAGCCATCTTTGGGTCTTTTGGGACCGCTGAAAAGGTAGAGCAACTTGAACTTGTCTTCACGACCAACATGCTGCCCAACTGTACTGTCAACTGTACTGTTTGCTGTATCTATCGAATTCTGTTGTGACTGCAAGCTTCCATGTTGCTGAGGCTTCTGTCCACTTGCGTCACCATGCAATCGATCGCTGTCCTGTCAGTAGGGCGGCCTCTTGCTGCCCTTTCCTTTCTTGCCACTCCCCTTCTTGCCCTTTCCTTTCGATCTGCGAAGGAATCCAGGTTCAGGCATCTCCGCATGCGGGCATTTGGTAGAAGGGTGTCCTCCTAGGCAACGATCACACTGATGTGCTGTGTTCCATGCATGTGGGCACCAGACTCCTTGGACCGACTCTGCACAAGTGCCATCGTTGAATCCCGGGCAGATCTTGTAGCCTGTTCTGTTCGTGACGTACTTGCCATTCTCCACATTGTTGAATCTGCCTGTACGGCTTGCTTTCCTTGTGCGATGGTCAGAGGATGATCCGGCTCCATCATTGCTGAGTCTTGCCGGTCCTGGTGCGATCTCTCTGGGACCTTGTCCTCCTTGTGCTGTCTTCGCATCTCCATCGAGGATCTCGGCCGAGTTTGCAATCTTGGTGACGATGAGGAATGCAGGTTCGTTGACCTCTTCACGCCAGAAGTCCAGGTCGTCGCATGCACGGCCCCACACGAAGTTCCACGGGCGATTCGGATCATACCCTACAGGCATAGGTTGCCCAGAACTTGCCGTCTTGTCAAACTCAGCCTGCGCAATCCTCTTCAAACGTGGCATGTTTTCCAACCTGCAGCGAACGTCACCTTGGTAAATGATGTTCCGGACCTTGTCACCAAACCGATCATGATAACGTTCAACCATGGTCCTGTACCTCAAAAGGTTCCCTAAATCCACGGCGTCCAACATCACGAGAATGTTTTGCAGAACCGTGTACGAAGACCACCAATGTGCCACGTTCGCCGGACCATGAAACTCTTGACGCTTCAACGAACCATCTCGCCCGATGACGACACCTGAAAGTTTGACTTTCTTGAGGATGCGCATACCGAATGGGCCAAAGATGGCAAAGTCTGCATACGGGCAAGCTCCTTGGTCAAGAAGATGTTTGATGGCCGTGATCTGTTCAGCAGTAGGTTCGCTCTCTTTTGGGGGTCTCTCACCTTTCCCATAGACGGCTTCGAACCTGGCGTACGCTTTGAGGATCTCCTTCTCATCAGTCAGCAACACTTCAGTGTCATCGATCTGGGATATGACACTGCTGAGTTTCACTTTCCTCGCAGCCGCCACTGATGAAGCGACCGAAGCTGCTGCTGCCGCTGCTGCTGCTGAAGCTGTGGCCTTCTTCTTCAAATCAGCGACTGTCTCACCTTTTCCGACAACCACTCTGCAAACATGCCCTAGCAGCTTGGCTTGTCCCAACTCTATCAACGTTGGAGGACGTACTCCCGGAGCACCTGTCCCTGACACAGTCGGAACCTTCCAGCCCATCAAAACTGCATCGAAGTCCGGTTCTGGAATGATACCAACTGCCGCCGGCTTTGTGTCTGCCTTTGCACCTATCAACTGGGCCAACGATCCCACCATCGTCTTGTCATCTCCCATGTGTCCCGATTCCAACCCAATGAACGTGACAACGTCAGCCAACGTCAACATCTTGAGACACTCATCGGGTGTTGGGTCCATGATATGAGATATCAAAGCCCGAAGGCAAACGTATGGTGGTGTAATCTCGTGTCCCAAACCAGCAACGGCAGCACCTGATAATCAGCCAGCACAGTGATGTCAATATCACCAGGGCTATTGCAACGAACAGCTCAAGGATATGGCTTGCGCCGACCGTCGCCCGAACGATTGTACCCACTTGCTGCTGACCAAGTGCAAGTGGGTACATGCACCCACACCTCCTCCCCAATGCCAGCAGGCGGTGTAGGATGAAAATGTGTGGGTGTCACTTGACCCAAAATGGCCAAGGTGAAAGAAGAAATCGAACCCGCCCACGACCACCCAGGGTTTCCACGATGTTACGTACACAAAGGATTTGTTCCCTCCTACAATTGGGCTGGACCTTGCAAACTGCTCTACTTGGATCCTGCAGGAGAATTTGTGAACAACGAATGGACCCAGTTTTTGCAGAGGGAGAACATCCGTGTTTCATTATATAAGTGCAGGTGAAAGTCATTGGCAACTTGGACAATGTGAACGGTGAAAAACATGTTGGATAGGATGAACCAGGAGAGTCCCATCAATCAACACAGAAGAAGAATTTAGATTGTGTTTGAGACAAGCGTTCGCAGCCAAGAATGCCTTGAGCAGAGTGGGCGGATTCACACCTGAACAGGCTCTCCTGGGAAAATCCAGACATTTTCCTGGATCATTGCAGGAGATGAAGACATGGGAAGTCATAGTCTGGCTTGATCCTGAAGGCCAATGGTTCTAACTCCCTGAAGCTGAAGACCTGAGGAATGCTCCTTCACTTGACACCCGTGATCAACATTTATGGAAATTTATCCACCACCCTCCAGTATAATTGAAGGGGATGCTGTTGAACCGGAGAGGGACAGTGAGTATACTCCAAGTGATCCTGGGAGTGACATGGTGACATGGAGGTAGATGGAGAAGACGATGAACTGTTTGCTTTTGGCGATGACACTTCCCGCTCATTTGGTGAACCCGTCTATGAAATCTGTTTTAGGGATGGATCCACCGAGTGTTTTGTTGCCAGCGAGGAAGTCTATTTGTTTGGGATTCCCTGAATGTTTCTCATGCCAAAAAAATGTAGAATTAAGGTGGGAAGATTTGAGTGAGGAAAACAAAGTCAAAGTTCAAGCCGCCAAAGAAAAATACATCAGAGCCTGGTTGGGCCATATAACCGTGAAACGTGTCACTCAGGGCACACTCTCAACGCGGAGTTGATGTCGGAACGTGAAAGTTTGAGCTTCTGCAGCTGAACTCATACCAATATGTTCTGCTTAGAGACATGACAGGCTGATGGCAAAGGAAAAAACAATGGTGAGTGCTGTGTGGCGAGCCGTCAGCTACCCGGCGGACAGTCGGGTAGTGTTTAGTTTTGCTTGAAGACTTTCAAGCTTTCAGCATATCAGCGTTCCACTGTGGGAATAGTTTCCAACGGATTCAACGAATGTTTAAGGGCCCTAGGGCAGTGCAAGGGTTGCAAGGGTTATACTAAGGAAGTGTTTTGCTTCTCCCTTCCAGCTTCATCCACCGCAGGTGACTTCTGCACAGCTGCCGCGACCAGAACTTGTGGGGAGTGAAAGACGAGCCAAGGCTCGACTGGTTGCTTTATGTTGCTTTGGGTTTTACAGACCCAGGCCCTCACATCCCAAATGACGCCCCAACACTGTCCAAAGATGGAAAAATGTGGATTCCACAGACAGTGGCTAGCCGCATGCGGGAATTGATAAGCCTTGATGTTGCAATGGCTTTTCTCAAAGGCCGTGGTGATGGGAGAAATTGTGGGATACAATCCCTAAAAGAGTTGGCATCTGCTTTAGAGATATATCAGACACTGACCAATGTCAACAACTTCAAGCAGGCGCCTATGGGCGATGGGGATACATGTAGATGGAATAGGGGCGGTGACTCATATGTTGCACAGGTTCTCCAGCGGATCCAAAAGGTGTACAGCTTTGGAGCTATCTATCGGAGAAAATGCACATTCTGTGGTGTGCGATGTGTTCAATGGGATGATGGATCCATAGAGCTAGAACAGAGAGAGTGTGACAGAAGAGGAGCGCCAAGAGATTCGACAACTATGTGGCTCTTTACAGTATGCTGCAGTGAACACTGATCCTGATTTGGCAGCCAAAATAGGGGAAGTACAGTCACAGTCCAGGAATACTCCTGCAACTGTAGGGGAAATGTTGGCTTTGAACACGATTCTTCATGAGGCGAAGACCCATGCTGTGTGTTTACAATTCCAATACCCATACAAGAGCTCACATTTTGTGCATTCAGTGATGCCTCCTTTGCCACAAATCGGGACACAGCTTCAGGACAGGGGACCATTATCTTTGCCACTGATTGTAGGTTCGGTAGCAATCAGGTAGGGATTGTGTGTCCTGTTGCATGGAGTTCAAAGAAGATACCAAGGGTTGTGTGTTCAACTCTATCGGTGGAAGCTGTGGCATTGAGTGCATCATTGGACCGGTTGTCATGGCTTCGACTCTTCTGGGAGTGGTTACAAAACCCTGGAAGCAATCTCATGGACCCAAACACCATGTTGAAGGAAGCTCTCACCGACTGCAAGTCTGTATACGATGTTGCTACCAAGACTTCAACCCCCACTTGTGAGGAACATAGAACATGTTTGGAGTGCATCCTGATCAGAGAAAGGTTGAAGGAAAATTGCCAATTAAGAGGCCCACCTTGCAGATTCATTGACGAAAGCTGTGGAGAGCACATCATTACGACAGTGTCTTGCGGAGGGAAAGTATAGCTTGTTTGACGTGACATCTGCACTGAAAGAACACGCCGATCGAAGAAACCGCCTAGCTTGGCTAAGAGAAAATAGAAAAACTGAAGAGAACATCGAAAGCTAGAAAATAGAAGGTGTCTGAAATGTGCAGCGCTCGTCGCCCGGACCAAACCTCTTCGGGACCAGTCCGGGGAGGGCGGGTGCGGAGACTTGAGTGGAACAGGACAAAGAACAGGGTTCTTTCAGCGGTGGTGGTTGGAGGACGGTTCAGCCTAGAATTCTCAACATATTATATATATATATACAGATATACACTTCACTCTTCAATATGTCAATACTTGAGCTGCAAAAACAAGCCGAAAGGTAGTAAAACTGCAGCTCTCTCCCAAACGATTTTAGTTGCAAATCGGCTGTCGCCCAACTTTCAGCGTTGATAGTACCAACAGTGGGAACTACTCAGTCCCGAAGACCATGAACTGCAAGGCTCCAAGCTCCATAATGCTCCGTCTGCTCTAAAGAATTGTGTTTTCCGCTTCATTTGGAAACAATATCAACTCGAGTGCACTCAAGCACATTCAAATGCATTGGACAGCCTGGCTTTTCAGCCAAGAATCGCAGCTGTTCCTCTTTACTTTGTCTAATTGTACAAATTGAGGGCGTACTCACACAAATGCGTGGCATGAGGGCTGCCAGCTTGCCTCAGCACAGGCCAAACATAGGAGCTCAACCCATAGGACCCTCAATATAGACGGTTCTTCAAACTGGCTCCTCAACACATTGTTTATGTCTCTTTCCACAACAGTTGGCATGATGGGTTGTAATTTGGTTGACTGTCAGCACCCAACCACTTAACAGCAAGGGCGGATGTTTCTTCGAGTTTTGAGAAGTCACAACAACCACCAGCTGCAGCTGTATCACACCCCCCCCCCCCTTTGTAATTGTTGAAATCGAAGGACTTCACGTTAGCTCGACCACTCCGCTCCTTTGACTTAGTCTCGCCACCTGGCAAAAACAGCTGGCTTTCATTCGGCACAAAACATCCATGTGTCAACGGGTGACTATCTTCCAAAACCCTGTTTGGTTTCCTAGCCTCATCTTGAGACTTCCGCAGCTCATTGTTCTGCGCACGGCCAAGAACATAGGCGAAGGAACCCACAATTACTACCTTGCGACTCCGATTGCCATGCACTTGCAAGGCTGCACTCAGCATGCCTTGTTTGGACTGATCACAATTTGCAGCAAACATGCCAGCTTCATGAGTGTTTCTCAACTGTGAAGCGTTGAGGTCTTTGATTGCAAGCTGCAACTCCACCCGTCATTTTTAGCTGGCCTGGCAAATGAGAGGCTCTGAAAATGCAATCCAAGGTTAAGAGGTTGAAATCAAATAGAGCCGAAATCCCTTTTTAAAAAAATAGGAAAAACAAGTCCACACTCAGGAGAACAGGTCTACTCAGGACAGGATTCGACAAAAACAAAACCAGAAACAACTAAGAGAAACAATATGGAAGGAAACAAACAAGCTGGGCGCCAAACTGCGTCCCAATATGAGTCTGGATTTGAGCCTGGATGTTTTTTTGGGGAGGATTTGAGTACAGATTTGAGTTGTGATACAGCTGTGGCCATCACCTTGCCTGCTACGCGGTTCCGCGCCTGCTATTTTTCAATTTTTCTATCTATAGGGTTCCAAAAGCAACGTTAGAGACTGGCAGCTGCCGTCTGGCACCCGTTTGCGCGCAGAATTCGAGGTCTCCGGCTGAGGGCTCATGCTGTCGGGCACGTGCGCCCGCCGAGGGTTTTATGGGTGATCTGTATCCGGTCCTGCTTCACGCTGCTGTAAACGACGGCCCCACACTGCGGGCACTGGTGGGGATGCACTTGCCCACATACGCTGCCGTCACGCACGTGAAAGTATCTTCCACAGTGCTTGACTCCGTGCTTGACCTGGCCGCAGTTTGTGGTGCTTTGCGCGTCCCCATCGCAGTGTGGGCAGCGATAACAGTACCTGCGGCCTCTTTCTTTTGCTTCTGTTCGCCTCTCGGTGTGGGGGTTCTTTTCGTACTGCCTGTCGCTTTGCTGTGTCTCTGGGTCATTTCTGCCCACGTCTCCGCCACCAGCTCCGGGCTACACCTCGCACAGTCCCGCGTACATCGCGAACTCCGCGCGGCGTCCTTTTCTTGAAGCAAGGCTTGCAGCCTTTCTCGCTCGACGCGGGTGTTACGATCGGGCACGCGGGCTCCTTCGCTGCAGGGTCGCTTCGCCACCATCGAACATAGGTTTTGGGTACATTCTTCACGTTTCTGCGTCTCGATCAGTGCGCGGACTTCTGCTACGTTCAAAAAAAGCTCGCAAAGAAGCGTCTGTCTCAATGCAACGTCTTGCTGGAGTTGTGGCGAGGTTTCTTGCTCGGTGGCGGTCCGCTGCATTGGTCAGCGGCCCAAGGAACTTGCCCAATAAACTCTGGAGTTGAGTGACTTCGCCAGTGAAGGGCCCAAACTGGCGAGTTCCGCATCCTTGCCCCAAAAAGGGGGTCGGCGGCACCACGGCGTATATAAAGTGTGTGATTTGTTTTATTTACTGTAAGTGCTTCGTTGCATTGATATGGTGACCTACGGACCTACATCTGAGTGTTTGCAACCGCATGGTCATTGTTCAATTTAATGCGTCTGGATGCCTGTGAAAAAGCTGGCACCGCATCAAAACTCCCTCTACTTCACCATGTTGAGCCCAACCCGCCTGCAGAGCTCTTGAGAACTAGATCTTCCCAGCCACATAGGTAGCTGACCACCTCAGCCACAGTGCAGTGGAAGAGCGTTCCGTTTTGAACTATATATAGACCAAAAGTCTCAAATGATCTCAGTATCTCGGGGTCTCACCCAAGTTGGAAAAATAATTCCCACGACGCCACCTTGGACAGCATCTATATAATCGGAGTGGTTTCAGCTAATTATGCCAGTTGCGCTCACGCTGCCAAAAGTAGACTTTGCAGGAAACGTTGTTGAACTAAGCGTACTGCAAATGGCCTTCGCAACAGAATCAAATTGTTTTGCCACGGCTGCACCTTCGCTGGGAGCGGGATTGTTTTGCCGAGTAAAGGTATTGCCAAAACACCAGACAACAAAAGCAAACAGCCGGAGGCTCTCAAAATGGTGTCGCCCAAGTTGTGAAAGACCTAATGGTTGTCAACCAGAAAGCAAGGCTGGAATCCAAGAATTTGGTCTCAAACAGAAACCATCGAGCTGACAGTTTCGTCACTATATACATTTTGATGCTTAGAAATGAGACTCAAATCTAGCATGAGCCAAGTGGCAATTACCCACCTCAGCAGTGTCGGACCGCTTGAAGACACCAAAACAACCAGATTGATATGATTCAATCTATCCAAAGAATGCCAGCCCAAGCCCAAGCTATGGCTATTGGGGAAATACAGCGTCACGACAAAACATTATCTTTGAGGCTGGCAGCACGGATGGCATGGCGATAAAAGGGTGTGTCGGTGCATGTGTCTACGGAAATCATTTCACCATTTCTACTCAAGCTGTACGAGGCATGCCTTCAAGTACAAAACCTGAATATATTGCTACACTTACATTGAACTGTTTGTGTTTTCACCAACCCTTCCTGTGAATTTGATCCTTTCCACCGCAACCCAAGATCAGAGGCATCTAATTACCCCGATGCGATCGTTTTGACTGCAGTTAAATCGGCTGAGCAGCGTCCACATGGACCAATCATGGAAAAAGCCGCCTGGCCTGCAAGGCCCAAAGCACTCACCGAACACACATTAAGGATATCAGTGGGCCAGTGATGGCTTGTTTTGGGAGCCTATTAGGGGCACATGGGGGTTGTTCAAAAGTCCTTTCATTTTTTCCAGGCCTTTCGCAGGACCTTCGCGAAGCTGTCGCAAGCTTTCGCGCGTGGGGTTTTACCACTGTCGGCGAAAATGGTTTTTCGTTGGGGCTAGAGGCTTTCCAGGATTCATGCAGTTGCCCTGGCACGTCTTGCGTCCTCTGATCACTGACACATTGGTTTCTGAGGAACAGGAAGCCAGCCAACCAAGCCATTTTCATTTTGGCGTGTTCTTGGTTGGGCGCAACCCTCCATGAACAAGAGACGGATTTGCTTTGTCCCGAGCCGGGAAAAAGCAGAATTGTTCAGACTTTCAATTTGCTTTGGGCGGGGAAAACCAAAATGGTTCAGACTTCCAATTTGCTTTTTCCTGGGCCGGGAAACAGCAAAATTGTCAAGACTTCCAATTTGCTTTGTCCCGGGCCGGGAAAAAGCAAAATGCTTCAGACATCCACTTGCTTTTTCCCGGGCCGGGAAAAAGCAAAATGGTTCAGACTTCCAATTTGCTTTTTCCCGACCCGGGAAAAAGCAAAATGTATCAGACTTCCAATTAGCCTCACAGATTTCCAATTGCTTTCTCCAGCCTCACCTCACATACCTGCACTTGATGAGGGCATCTGCAGCTGGAGTGTCCAGCGCGTGCTTCCAGCAAGAAGAGTGGAGTGGGGCGAGGTTTGGCCCTGTCGTCTTTCGCGTCCGCAATGCGAACCTTTCGCCATGCTTGCGCAGTTTCCCACGACAAAGAATTTTCCAAGGATCAGGAAAAAGCAATCGGAAAAGTATCTCACTTCCAATTTAAATTTTCCCAGCCCGGGCAAAAGCAAAAGGCTCAGACTTCCAATTTGCTTCTTCCCGGGCCGGCAAATAGCAAAATGGTCCAGACTTCCAATTTGCTTTTTCCCGGCCCAGGAAAAAAGCAAAATGGTCCAGACTTCCAATTTGCTTTCTCCCGGGCCGGGAAAAAGCAAAAGGCTCAGACTTCCACTTTGCTTTGTCCCGGGCCGGGAAAGAGCAAAATGCTTCAGACATCCAATTTGCTTTTTCCCGGGCCGGGAAAAAGCAAAATGGTTCAGACTTCCAATTTGCTTCTTCCCGGGCCGTCCAGACTTCCAATTTGCTTTTTCCCGCGCCGGGAAGAAGCAAAAGGTTCAGACTTGCAATTTGCTTCTTCCCGTGCCGTCCAGACTTCCAATTTGCTTTTTCCCGCAAAAGGCTCAGACTTCCAATTTGCTTTTTCCCGGGCCGGCAAAAAGCAACATGGTCCAGACTTCCAATTTGCTTTGACCGGGCCTGGAAAAAACAAAAGGCTCAGACTTCCAATTTGCTTTTTCCCGGGCCGGGAAAAAGCAAATTATCCAGACTTCCAATTTGCTTTTTCCCGGGCCTGGCAAAAGCAAAAGGCTCAGACTTCCAATTTGCTTTTTCCCGGGCCGGGAAAAAGCAAAATGGTTCCCGGGCCGGGCAAAAAGCAAAATGGTCCAGACTTCCAATTTGCTTTTTCCCGGGCCGGCAAAAAGCCAAATGGTTCAGACTGCAAAATGGTCCAGACTTCAAATTGGCTTTTTCCCGGGCCGGCAAAAAGCAAAATTGTCCAGCCTTCCAATTTGATTTTTTCCCGGGCCTGGAAAAAGCAAAAGGCTCAGACTTCCCATTTGCTTTCAAAATGGTTCACACTTCCAATTTGCTTTTTCCTGGGCCTGGAAAAAGCAAAAGGCTCAGACTTCCAACGGCAAAAAGCAAAATGGTCCAGACTTCCAATTTGCTTTTTCCCGGGCCGGCAAAAAGCAAAATGGTCCAGACGTCCAATTTGCTTTTTTTCCCGGGCCTGGAAAAAGCAAAAGGCTCAGACTTCCAATTTGCTTTCAAAATGGTTCAGACTTCTAATTTGCTTTTTCCCGGGCCTGGAAAAAACAAAAGGCTCAGACTTCCAATTTGCTTTTTCCCGGGCCGGGAAAAAGCAAAATGATCCAGACTTCCAATTTGCTTTTTCCCGCGCCTGGCAAAAGCAAAAGGCTCAGACTTCCAATTTGCTTTTTCCCGGGCCGGGAAAAAGCAAAATGGTCCAGACTTACAATTTGCTTTTTCCCGGGCCGGCAAAAAGCAAAATGGTTCAGACTGCAAAATGGTCCAGACTTCCAATTTGCTTTTTCCCGGGCCGGCAAAAAGCAAAATGGTCCAGACTTCCAATTTGATTGTTTCCAGGGCCTGGAAAAAGCAAAAGGCTCAGACTTCCAATTGGCTTTTTCCCGGGCCGGGAAAAAGCAAAATGGTCCAGACTTCCAATTTGCTTTTTCCGCCGGCAAAAAGCAAAATGGTTCAGACTGCAAAATGGTCCAGACTTCCAATTTGCTTTTTCCCGGGCTGGAAAAAAGCAAAATGGTTCAGACTTCAAATGGCTGGAAAAAGCAAAATGGTTCAGACTTCCAGTTTGCTTTTTTCCCGGGCCAGGAAAAGCAAAATGGTTCAGGCTCAGACTTCCAAATTGCTGGCTGGGAAAAAGCAATGTGGCTCACAGATGCCCACTGGCTTTCTCCAGTCTGGGAGAAACAATTCACAACGGGGAAGATTCGAGCCCACAACCTTCTGGTTCTGATCCTGATGTCTTATCCATTAGGCCAGATTTGTTTGATTTTAGTTTGTAAATCTGATACAAATTGCTTGTTGCTTAATTTTTTGAGCTCAAATTGCTTTTGCCAAATTTGACTCAGACTTCCAATTTGCTTTTTCCCGGCCCGGGAAAAAGCAAAATGGTTTAGACTTTCAATTTGCTTTTTCCCAGGCTGGGAAAAAGCAATATGGTCAAAACTTCCAATTTGGTTCAGACTTCCAGTTTGCTTTTTCCCAACCCTGGAAAAAGCAATCGGAAGTCTGAAGAGCAATTGTTTTTGCAGCGTGGCCAGGTCACCAACATGACGCGCGCAGACCTCTCGCAGGACCTTCGCGAACCTTTCGCGACTGCAGTGAGAGCGCACTCGAAATCAGCCTTTGAAATTCGATTACTAACAAGGAAGAGGTGGGTTTTTGAACGACGCTCACATGAGTACCCCATGGGCTCTTACGAATTTGAAGGTCTGCTTGCTGAAAAAGGACCGACGGAAGACCAACAATGATGCTGTAGGCTTGCGTTGTTCTGGACAAATCATGGAGCGAAAGTGCATAATACTGTGGGCCGTTGGTTACCCTTCAAAACACCAGGCTTCCGAGTCAGTTCAATCTCGTCTCACGCTCGTGAAGACTTCTGTTTCACGCTCACAGTCGCCTGAACCGGGCAAAGCAAGTAGCGAAGGAAAGCAAGCAGAAAATGCTTTGGGGAAGGAATCCCCAAAAGCCAAACTTCCCAAGGACCTTCCCAGCAAAGGCCAGGCTGAGCACGGGAAACTAACCCACCTCCTAAGACCGGGAGAGACAAGAGGCAAACCCAACCGCTCTGCGTCGATACAGGAACATTTCAATGCCAAATCACCATGGCAACGCAATTTCCAAGAAGTCATCCCCCAGTCACCCCCGGGAGCTGATCCCAATGGAACGCTGATACCCAAACTATCGAGGTAGCTTCCTCGCCCAACCGCAAACGAAGTCGGTCAGGGCAAACTTCAACAAATAGAAATGCCGACAGGCACGCACGGTTTCGACGCTCGCGGTCGAGTCAGGTCGCAGCCTAAGCCTGTCTCAAGGGCCCTCGTGAGCCGGAATCACATGAAAGGAAAATGAACTGAATGCAAATCTATGATGGCTCAATCGCAGCATCAACATGGGAGGAAAGTTCTTTGATTTCGTGAACTCTCCTCAGGAGAAAATTCAAGTTGCGAGCCCTTCAGTTCTACTTCACAACCGGTCTCAAAGCCCTTCAGGGATTCTCTAATCCCGGTGTGGATAGAAATCATCACTATACAGCCATGCCCCATGTTGGTTCCAGGGCAGCTGTACATATCGAGCTGGACTTGCCGTTCTGTCGTAGTGTGTTGGTGTCTGGCTTTGTCGATCTTTCAAATCACCATCCAAGTACTTCTGAGCTTGGGACTTTTTCACTTCTTCGACCTCTCGGTTCTTGAACTTGTAGTTCAGCTCGCTCATGAGGATCATGTACTTGTTCATGTACCAGATCCACTGCCGAATCTGGCGGTCACTGAAGTCCCTGGTTGTCGAGACTGCCATCAGCTCTTTGAACCTCAAGCGGCGGCTTTCAGACATATCCTCTGTCTCGATGAATTCCTTCGTCTTCGGGTCGAAGTTGGTCTCCTCAGGACTTTCCATCAACTCCTTGAGCTTTCGCAATCTTTTCTGTTTTTCTTCCTTCACGAAGATCATGCCAGCGACCCCATTCTTCGCTTCCAACATGTGTCTCCGTTGAACTCTCTGAGCTCTTGGCCTCGTCATTCGTTTCAATCATGTCAAACTCTGGGGTCTGCACATTCGCCATCTCGCCATGGCTCAAACCTACGGCTGCGACCGGACCGAGCATCGAGGGCGCCAATTCCTCTTCCACGGTGAGCTGCATCACAACAAACTTCTTCACATACAAGAAAACCTGGTACACGAACTTGTACATACCAAAGAACGAAAAACAGAGCATTACAGCCACCGTGTAAATGAAGGTCCAATCACTCTCCTCATTCTTCGCTTCAGCTTTTGGTGCAGATGCCAATGCGAGGGTCGTCATGGCCACTTTGGCAGACTTCATCCAAACATCTTCACGAATCTCCGCACGGTTGACGTGCTTGTAGTAGTGCCTCCTGCAGCAATACTTTGTCTCCTTGCCGTTCAAGATCGCCACACCTTTCTCACATCCAGGCAGCTGACATCGGCCTGGTGGCTTGTCCTCTTCGTCACCGAACAGGGCCTCATGTCCAAACAAGTATCTTGCTGCTTCTTCGTGCTCGGCGATCTCCTTCTCTCTATCGCT